GATAATTAATTACATTATAAAATTCACAATGAGTTCATTTTTCAACATGGGCAACATGTTTTTCAATGTACTTGGTCCATCATACCACAAGCTTTCCGATACTCTCATAAAAAAGGATGTTCGATTGTGCAGCAAGTCATGTGTGCACTGCTTCCCCACGTGTAGGTCGGAGGCAAATCTCCGGCCTCTCAAAGCATCTTTAAGTGGGCCCAACAGAGTAATTACACGTGACAAGATCAGAACTGAATCCAAGATGCTCTGACACCTCGAAACACAGATTTTGGAGTGTATGGGCGGTGGTACAATCCATCTCTGCGTTCTCAAATGCAGAACTGACATACTTATGGTTTGCCACTTCATCGACAGACGCTCATCGGTTATTCAGAATCAGGGCACGGACTTACTCAATATTGGGATTAATGGTGGATGAGGATCGACTCTTGGTCATTTCTCATCCCACATGTTTGTTTGACTACTTTTGAATGGTTCAATCAACTAGCAAATTCTTTACAACTGAGAAAAATTACACCTACATTGTGCTAAAGGCCTTGTAGGATCTCAGCATTTGGTACACATTCAGATCACAAAAAATGGATTACGAAAGACATCTTTTTTGTTCAAACGGAGAGTAGTGCAGCCGTGTTTACGCGACAACGCAAACGAACATTAAGTGATAATGCTGAATCGTGCCGAAAACAAATTGCACTATGTCATCTTAGGCTAATGAATAATTTCAAAATAGAGTACTTGAAATGATTTAAAAACATGATTGATGAACAGATTTCATTAAAAGCAAATCTCCAGCGGCATTCTTATCAGCGTACTTTGTTCAATTCGGGAGAAAATTTTTTAAAAAATGGAGCCATTTTCTTCTAAAGAAAATTTCTAAATTTTTGAAAATATCGTGGAGGTTCGCATTAGAATCCCCAAAATTAAAACATCAGTTTCAAGTCCCTGAAGCATTCAGATCGATTGGCGAATATACATTTTGGTAAAAATACTGGGTATGGTACAAGCGATTGTGAGGTTCACAGACGGATAATAATTTTTTTCTTTCATGACATGGTTTAAAGACTTCACATATTCCCTACGCACATCGCGTTGGCGAATGTGCACTTTATCCGGCTAAAGTCATTTTGCTTCGAAGCTGCTCCTACTTCGGACTTGATAAACCCAACTGAATAAATATAAAGAGCTTGATTTAAAAAACAAAATCGGTCCTGGAACGCGCTCCAAATTAATTATTATTTTATTAGAAATTGTTATATACTTACAATATAATTTAATAATTATTCCGACATACAAGAACGCCGTCCCGTCGCGTTCTGCCACAAATTATATATATAATACATATTCATACATACATACATACATACATACATACATACAAGTGTTCCTGTGTATATACAGGTGTGTATATACCCCACCCCCAGGGATTGGGTTGGGGGTTAACTTTCAAATCTCAAACGGGAACCCCCATTTAACATACAATAACAAATCCAAATAACTCGAAAAATACGCAGTGTACAAGAAATGTCTCAGACAAAAAATAATAAATACCTCCATGGGGCATATCTGACCGACCTCATATCAAACCTCGTCCCCGGTCCCTCGGGGTGGGGTAGGGAGCAACTCTGAAATCCTAAATGGGTACCCCCATTTTTTATTGCATATTCGAATTGTACACGAAACAATACATAAGTTGTGTTTTAAACATCTTTTGTGATTCGTGATAGATGGCAACTCAATCTCAAAAGTAAGATTTTTGCAATTATGGAGAAATTACACTTTGGATTGAAAAATAGAGAAAAACCTGCTCAATAATTTTAAAAAATCTAATAATAGCAGATAAGCACCCACCCCAGCCCCAGGGATTGGGTTGGGGGGTTAACTTTCAAATCTCAAACGGGAACCCCCATTTAGTTCATTAAAGAATTAGACTTAACGTGTATGGGGTTTTTATTCGTGATTAGTTAGTGAAATTTTATTTAAAGTCTTGCACTTCGATGGTGAGAGGCTCACCTAAAACAAGCACCCCGAAGGGAACAGAAAACTACCCAAGATACTAGTTAAAAAACCGATGCGAATAGAAATAATGCAATAAAATCTAAGACAATACTGTAAGTGTAAAATATGATTCGTGTGCAGGTACAGGGAAACTTCAAATTATCTTATTTTCATGGGTCGGGATATTAAAAAGATGGCTGCTTAAATTAGCTTCGTTAGTATTTTTAATAAAGCATATATAAGATAAGAATATTATAAGAATTACAAATATATATATATATATATATATATATATATATATATATATATATATATATATTAAACTTGTAGTATTATTTGGGATAGTCTTAGATTTTATTGCATTATTTCTATTCGCATCGACATCTTTACACAAGCATTGACGTAGTATACTGGTGCGCCTAGAGTCGCTGTGTGCATATAGTATGTATTTGATTGCACGGTGTGAGCTTGAACATGCGTGTGGGAGAGAGAAAGAGATAGAGAAAAAGAAAGAGAGGGAGAGAGAGAAAGAGAGAAAGAGAGAGTATGTGTGATGTGTGCGTGCGCATATAGATGTGTGTTTTGGACCTGCATCATGCGTGATTTGCGTCCCAAACAAAAAACAAAAACATTACTGCAGTCCGTGATGAGCGAATTCGCACATTTTTGCGTGATTCTCGTACACACGTGAGGCCAGCGGGGGCGTGAGGACGGCGGGAGGAACCGCCGCTGCTGCGAGGGTGGAAGAGGAAACACGGGTGACTCACCACGCGGAACATGCAGGGTTAGGAGGAACAGAATCTAGACGCACGCAGCCCTGATCGATAGAATTACTGCTGCAGAAGCCTACATTGATCGATTTTGAATTAAGAAAAGCGAGGAAGCTTTTACCGGGAGAGGTGACCCGGAACAGCTCCGTTTAGACAGAAATAGTTTTCAATGCAAATTTTTCCACGACACACGCGCCCTTAGGTGGGCGTTGTGTTCAAAGAGTGGGCCAAAATCGTGCACTTCTTTAACGCGTAAGTGGCTTCCTATAGATATGGTGACAATATGTAAATACAAGTAAGTATGTTCAACGTTTCAAAAATGGATATTCATATTTGTGATAATTTAAAATATAAATATCATGCCTGCTGTTTTGAGTAGCCAGACAGAAATAAATCGTTTATTCATTAATATTTTATTTGCACTTTTCTTTTCAAACCGTATTTCATCTCTTAAATATCTGTCAAAAATGTGTCATAAAGGCTTAATTCACGGAATAACCTCAGAGACACCTAAATAAGAATTAAAATTTTCTATACGAATGTTACTGATAATCAATTCCAAATTACTTTAAATGAAGAAAAAACACTAATTTTACTTCAAACAAAACATGAAAGTTGTTTGGCAGAAATGGTGTATGTGATTTTAGTAAAATGATTCCTAGTGTGTGAACCAAAAGCATAGTTTTGCATATTCTCTTTTGCAGTGAGTAACTCAGGCGTGCAGCGAATCTTCATCCAAAACATTTCTTTCTACATATATGAAATCAAATTTGAAAACAAAGTTAAAAAGGAACAATACGATGGACAGTAAACTGAATACAGTGTCCGTGTTCATGTTTTTTGTTCTACATCACAATTCGCTCGTTCCGCAGTTGTCATAAAGAGAACTGCAATGAATTGTTTATTTCAGTAATAACCATAAAGATATATTTTCAATATTCGAAACCAAGGAAGTCTAGAAAAATTCATTATATATACGATAAATAATACAAATGATAATCAAGTTTAGAGCTATTCATTGAGAAATTGGAAAGGTGAAAGTTAGCACAAAGATACAGTAATGAACGTAAAAATTGCCTCCCATATCTTTATTACAAAGCCTGAGCATTTTTCAACTCTGCTGGTGGTTGAAATCAGTGCATTTATCTAGCTTCACTTCGAAGCGCAAAGCTAGATGTCAATGGAATGACAATGACACAGGTACAAATATGTCAACAACCGTACATGAGTTAGTATGTCTATAAACCACCTGTTCAGGCTACTCTCCAAACACATAGGAACATGCAATATTTTAAGACATAAACTCAAGGAAATAATATATTGAGGGATTCGAAACAAAACGTTGGTGGAAGGCCTGCATATTCTTAGAAACCAGGTGCGCGGAAGCATTCACAGCCTGGCAGGTGGGTCGCGCCCGAGGTGTGGTGTGGGGTCCCAAATGTGTAAGGCTTTGGGAATAATGGAAGATCTAGTTTGTTAGTGTCAATCGCTTCTTGTACGTACTTTCGCGCATGGGCGGCAATATGAATCCTAGCGACACACCAACGGAGACTTAAGAGAAAATAATACACTATTTTTTCTGGGCACAAAATATATTTCCCAGAAACGCTACACCACAATCATGATACACATGTTTACATATGCAATGGGAACAAAATAAATATGTTTATAATAATAATAATAACAATAATAATAAAAATATAAATTAAAGCACAACATACCCCGTCAGAAGACAGGCAGCTGACTTGCGTCCCTGCAGCGGTCGATACTTGGTCACAAAGCCATTAAGGTGTTCCTTTGTCTTGATTGAGATGTTTCAAAGTATCAAAACATTATCAAAAGGAATCGTGTGGAAAAAAAATGTATTACCATTTAGTCGCAAACCCCTTTGAAGTGATAAAAAAAATATTAGTAGAAATACTACATCATGATTGTTGTTGTTTTCATATAGTTGCTGTTAAAAATAATATCCAAATTACTTCTATTATTATTTATTCACGCACGAAAGCTTCTCAATCGGGGACCAGCGCTGTGGAAGAGAAAGTTTCCAGAAACGATTGGCAAAGGTGTCACACAAGCATATTATTTTCTTTATACTTTCACGTGGTTTCTGATCACTATTTCCATAGTATTAGCACATCACACGATCAAAAACAAGGTTCACACACTTTTGAGGGACGCACAGAACCATTCGCACGTCAATACTGAAGCGCGACACGAGACGCGGCGTTGGCCAAGCAGAGCAGTGCCAAGCAGAGCAGGCTGAGCAGGCCGAGTAGGATAGTGCAGCAGCGCACAGCGCACGCAGCGGCGGCGCGCCTGACCTGCGCCAGTCGCTTGCCCAGCACTAGCCCCACCGTCGCCGCCGCCTCTCGCCGCCCCCTCTCGCCTACTCTCGCCACTCACTTCCCCGCCGGCCCTGGCGCTGGGAGCGGAATGCAACATGGCAGCGCGAGCTGCACGGGTGCCGCAATCTGTCGGCTCGCTGGTCAATAACTTCGGTTACGTCACAATCGAGCTGCCATGCAAGTGTTTTGCCGCGAACGGTGTACTCGTCAACCTACTATTTTGACATACAAACAAAAGCAGATTGTCCAGAATTCAGGAGGAATGAATCCGAGGTGGCCACAGGTCCCACTTCTTTATTTCGATGTGCCCCGTGCGCATTCGATCTCCCGCACCGAGGCGGTTTCCAAGCGAGGAGCTGTGGCCAGCAGGGAACAGCGGGAGGGGGAAGGGGCCGTGGTACGGGAGGGGGCGGAGCGGGGAGCGTAGCGCGCGGTGGGGAAAGTGAAAGGGCCCGACGCTGCCGGCGATCAATAGAGAAGAGGGTGATGACTGCCCCCGAGGCTCCATGAGGATGGCAACGTCAGCAATTTTCATTCTCGGAACAAGCATCATAGATTTTTTTATCTTCCGCGGTTGTTAATCACTATACAATATTGACAATTGTAATTTATGTACCGAGTTCTCCTGCATTTTTTCGGGGTGAGAAGATACCTGTCTATCCTGCATATATGACGTAAATTGGAACAACCGATGTAGAATGTACCGCAAGATATCTACTTGGTTAAAAGAAAAGAGACAGGAAATTTACGAAGGAAAGAAATAATGACGATATACTAGCGCGAATGTTTTCGCATTATTTGCAACATTTTCAACTTTCAAAAATTCGGGGAGTTCAAAGAAATGAGGCTTGAGCCATTTCTTAAGTATACTTTCTGCAAAATACTTTCTCTATCTGCAAAAAAGAAAAGTTTTGAGAAGTTTCTGAAATTTTTTTTATAAATTGCATTTAATTTTTAAAAAGCTAAATTTACTAGTGTTTTTAATATGTTATACGTGACCTTGTTTAAAGATCTACTTTTGGGTACAGATTTAAGAATGGCACATTTTTTTTCTATTTTAACGCATTTTTACTTTCTCGCCTTACGAATTGTTCATAAGACGAGAAAGTTATGTAATAGTCCGTAAACCAGAAAACGTCGAAATTTCGCCAGGAAAAAACCTTATTGCCGGGTTGTGGAAATGAAAAGGTGAATAAATTCTATTGCTAAAATTAGAAAAAAAATCCTCTAACTCGTGGTGTTGGCAGAATCCATGTTTTGTTCGAAAAATCGATTGACGACAAAACGTCCGTCTGTAGTCAACGCTAGCGCCTAAACCGTTCAGCCGATTTTCTGCAAACTTAATATTCCACAATCCATCTGGCTGATATCGCGGCCCCTGGATTTTGAAACCGATATTTTAATTCTCGGGAGTACATTATAAGAAGCCCCTCGGACATTTTCAAAATTTTCAAAAAATAGCTCCGAATTTTTTGATTAAATTATGTTGTTTAATAGTGCAAAAGACGTTTAAGAGAATGGTGCAGGTCTCATATTCAGTGATATCTCCAATTTTTCTAAAATAACAAATTTTTTAAAAAAAATTAAAGATAGTGATTTTTGGCTCAGATAAAACTGTTGTACAAAATTACCTCTTAAGAAAAAGTTATGTACATTTTTTTTTTAAAAAACGAGTAGCTTTTGTGTAATGTGGGCTTGAAATTTACAAAAAAAATTCAAAAATCGTTTCAAATCGTTTCTTTAAATTTTCCCCACATATATGGGGCGGTAAGAAATATGGTGTTGGTCCCATTTTCGGGTATTGCTCGTTTTTATTTAAGATACAAAAACATTTCAAAATTACACATTTGAAAATAGATTTTTGCATGAAAGTTTGTCTTACAAAATTAGTTATTTAAATAAGTAAATAAATAAATAAAAGAGTGGTGCCGTAGAATGGCACATATTTTCTCGTCCTAGTTATTTTTGTATTCTTTCTACTCTTGACTAGCTTTTCCGATAGGCGTCATTGTCTTCTCGCTTGTTTTCTGACGTCGCCCGAAAAACAATCATTTTTCACATTTTTATTTAATTACTCGGCTCCGTAATGCTAGAACTGAAAGCATCATATACTTATTATTACTAGCGCACGCGTAACTGGATAGCCGAGGTAGCTAATTCGGTGGTAAGGCCTAAGCTCTTCGAGGGAGCCGGTTGGCTGGTTCGAGTCTTCGTCGGGAATCATTATTTGCGACAATTCGGCGGTGCCGAAGGAAATAATTGATTATTTCAGAAAAAATATTGAAAACAATTTGAAGCAATTCTAATCGCAAGTACGAGTAATCAAGATAAACGGGAAATGACTGTATGTGATTTTCGAATTGTCAACTTTTAATCAGTTTTTCACATCTCTTATGGGATTTGTAAATCGTATGAACTATCAAATCAAATATCGTCTTTCGGCGCTTAAGGCTATTATATAAAAGTGGCAGATCTCTGTGTAGCCCGGGTGGCCGAAGTGGTTAAATGTCAGTGTCGGACTCTTCGTTTCGGGGGGAAGGGCCGTTGGTTCGAGCCTGGCTCGGTAGTAATTATTTGTCACAACTCTCTGTTGCCGCAGGAAACTATTGAGAATTTCAGAACCTTTACTGAAAATCGTTTGCAGCAATTTTACTCACATATACAATCTATTAAGATTCTAAATAAACTAGAAGCATCTGTATGTAATTTTGAAATTTCAAACAAGTTTACAACTTTCTTGTCCTATTTGTAAAACGTATGTTACATTAAATCAATTGTTCGATATAATATTCAAATCAATATAATGTCGGGAGGCGTTTAGAAATATTGCGAGAAAGTATGTGCTTTGGCAGCACCACTAACTATTAATACTGTACATTTAAAATGTTTTTTTTCAATTTTTGAAAATACAGAGAGTTCACCGAAAGTGCAACTATCGCCGTTTTTACACGCGTACTTTGCTCTATTCTAAAAAATTAAAGGAAATATTTCCATTCTTCAGAAAATAATTGTTTAAAAATTGTGTAACTTTCGTGTAAAATTACTTGAAAAGTATTTATATTTTCGAAAAATTGTACATGAACTTATTTAATGATCTGTCTGAAGAAGAAAAAATGACAGAAAAATGTCTTTCTTCACTATTGTAGTTGTAAGAAGATGCTGAAAAATTAACTTTTGTAATTTTAGAAAATTCTGATGTGTCAACGAAAATGGGATCTAAGCCGCTTTTTAAGCGGTTTTTCCTCTATCCGAGGAAAAAAATATTCCACAAATTTTGAGCCATTTTTGAGATAACATTGAAAAGTTGTTAAAGCTCAATTTAAAGATCCCCAAAATCAATAATCCGGGACTCGAGATCGGCAAGGTTTAGGAATATCAATTTTGGAAAAAAAATCGTTTGGATTAGGAAGGCGCTAACGGATGTACGGACACAGACGTTTTGCCATAAACCAATTTTTCGGTATCAGAGACTCACTTCGCATTATAAATGACTACTCAATATTATAATGCTAAATCAAACCTGCAAAAGTGGGATACAAACTTAGATTCTTAAAATAATTAAAGATGTTGTCATTGCCAACAATGTTTTTTAATTCAATAGCAGCTTTCGATGGCTAAGCCATCGAAAGCTGCTATTGAATTAAAAAACATTGTTGGCAATGACAACATCTTTAATTATTTTAAAAATGCCAAAGATATCTTACCACAACACCTATATTAGATTCTTAAACTTAGCACGCCATTCTCATTGAGAAAAGTTTATCGAAGACAACACCAGTTTGACAGCTCACAAACGAACGTCATGTCGGACGACAGAACCGGGAGGGGTAGCTGCGGGTATCAACTGAAGCCATTGCAATGCCTCTGACCGGAGGTCATAGGTTCGAGTCCCGACTGGTAGAATTTTGCGACACTGGCTAGATAGCTAGGTCGAGTTCTTCCGCTGTCTACAGTATACCAGCAATCAGCTGCTCTGATCGGTCGTTTTCCGTGCTTTATCCGATCAATACCAGGCTCATGCCGGAGCAGTACCATACCAAAACAGCCAAGGATCGCGAGTGATCTTTCCTTCCCATTCCTTGCCATAACCTATCGCTTGCATACGCACACGCACTACACTTCCATACATGCCGGGAGACAGGTCGGGAGCTTGGAGCTTGGGGCGGCAGAGGCGGTTCTAAGCTGGTGGAAGAAACCTAGATGAGAAAATCCCCGATAGCCGACGATCTCATCATCCAGCGTGGGAAGATCACCGCCACCTCCCGCGAAAACACACGCACAAACCTACGGGAATAATGACCTTGCAGTTGACGCGCCCGGAATCACTAATCAACCAATCGGACGATGGCATTGCAAGGGGTAGCCTCAAAGCCATTTACGAGTGAGACAACTGGAAACGAACACATATATATATATTTTTACATATAGTATACTTTTTTTTCCTCGACAGGTGCCGGTGATCTTTTCCAGCTGGATGGTGAGATCCGGTGCTACCCTACAGGTCTGCTAGTAGGGTGCCCTCCAATCAGATAGTTCCCACCAGTGGGGAACAAACTGTAAACTCCCGACTGCTCTTCTGGCATGTGTGAGGGTGTAGTGCATGCATGTGTAAATGTGCGTAAGAGCAAGTCTGTGTAAGTAAGAGGTGAGGATAGAACAAGGAAAGGCAAGGAAAGGTCGCGCACGGTTTGTGGCCTGTTCGTTAGGGCGCTGCTTTGGTATGCGCCTGATGTTGATGAGAAAAACTTCGGAAAACTACCTCTCAGAGCAGTGGGCCACTAGAATTCTCCTCCAGGCAGCGGCTAAATTGGACATAGCTATCTCGTTGGTGTCGAAAATTCTGCAACTCTCGGGATTCGAGCCCTAGGGCCTTCCGGTCAGAGACAGTGCAGTGACATTAGTTGATGCCCTGAGCTGCCTAAGCCTATCATTTACGAATTGAATGCGTGGACATAACTTGAAGTATTGATGCCAGCAATAGCCAAGCAATTGCTGTCAAAGTGATCCCGACTTTGGGTAGACTCTGTATAACCCCCACCAGACTCCCAACTACTGAACCTTTCCAACGCTTTAAAAACAGTTGAAATTTGGCGCTTG